AATCTGTACTTTGCAGAGTTCTTTAACTTCTCATTATAGGGCTGTGCAATCATTAAGAGAGACAGGGTTGGGGGGAGTGAGAAGTCAGCCCCCCAGGCGGATTGCCATGCTGCAGTCCCTTCTCTTCCATTCTCCTCTCTGGATTTTGTACATGTGTACATACATGCCTGGCATGAGTTTCAAGCCACCAGGTCCAGACAGGAACTATGGCCCAGCGCCTTAACCACCATGCCTCCTGCTGGTGCCTTGGCAAATATTTTAAATTTCAAATAGTTCTTTCTTATTGTTTCTTTTTCATAACTTTCTTTGTTTTTGTTTTTGTTTTTGCTATTTGGTGCATAGGTTCCCCAGAGAAAGAGAGAGAAAGGGAGAGGGGAAGTAATACAGCACGCCCCAGCAACGTTGGCCACACTGCTTTCCCTTCTCTTCCACTCTCTTCTTAGGATTTTGGGCACACATACACATGTGCCAGCATAGTTTTCAAGCTGCTGGGTCTGGGACTTGAACTGCAAAGTCAGTCATGTGGGATCCAGCTGCCTTAACCTCCACACTGCCATTTGCCCGTAACATTCTTATTTGGTTTTGCTATTGTAATATTTTCCCCAGTTGCCTCTATGGTTTTTAAAAGTTGTTTTCATTTTTTTTCTTTCAAAGATTAAATTTATTACTATTTTTTAAAATTTGCTATAGGATACATATGCTCACCAAAGAGAGAAAGCAAGCTGCCAGGTCTGAGACTGGAACCATGGTCGACCATGTGAGTCCCGGGTCTCAACTACCACGCCACCTGCTGTCCCCCACCCTGTGTTTAGAAGCTTTTATTTAATTAAGTCGTCCTTTTTGTTACATGAATTACCTCTAGAATGATGTCCGCCTGTTGTCTATCTTTTCTTACTCCTTCCTGTTGCAGACTTTCTTCTCTGTCTGTATTCTCTTGGCTTTTCATTTCTATTTAAGACTGAAACTATAAGGAGGCTGATAGGAAATTTACACACAGAGTCAGAGCATGTCCATTGTCTCGGTTTTCTTTCGGGAAAGTTGTCAGGAAACCAGTCTTTTGTGGAGGGGCCCTCAAGGGAGGAATGC